TTGAGATTCAAGTGTCTGCACGTAGTGCAAGATCATCGGAAAGGTGAGCAGACAACTCGTCAACGCGACCGTCGAGAAGACGACGGCCGCGAAGGCGACCGGTCGGAGCGAAGGCCGCTCCTCTTTTTCCGACATGCCTGAAAATACTCAAGTAGTAACTGAATGAATGAAACGAGCAACTTAAGCGTTCAGCGGTGAGGACTCGTCTTATAAATGAGTTCAAGGTCTCTCAAAAGATCACATAGTGCATGCCCAAACTTATGTTTGCTGAACCCAAATCTTCTTCCATGATTTTTCATTCTGGGTCTTTTCTGGGCCGTGATTACAAATATGAAGTACGGAATGTGCAAAATCCCAGAAAAACCGATCGAGCTCTGTCCTAAAGGCACAGACGACTTCCGGTGTTTGAGTGGGTGGGACTAGATGTGGTGGGCGTGTGAAAGCACTTTGGCGAGCTCCAGAACCATTTTCCATTCAGAGGCCACATTAGAGGCCTGTACCATCGTAGATGTCGTACTCTTAGGGCTTTCTTCTAGACTATTACTAATAGGAGAGCATAGATTCTGCTTGAGCACTGCATTTCAGGAATCGTATAGTCAAAATTTTAGAACTTCGTTTGCTAATCATGCGAAGATGTCGAAAGCTTCGAAGATGATAAATTTACCACGAAAAAAATTACCAGCGTAATAAGTGAGGACAGATACCCCTGTAAATCTAAATCGTTCTGACGATCTAACTATCGCACATCCTCTACTTTTGGAGTGTTTTTTTAAAATAAATTTGTTATAAAATGGGATAGGGAAGAAGAAGTCGACAGGATCAATTGGAGCGATTTTTAAGTAAACTAATTGGTGTTTATTGCAGAGATTGTGCCATATACTGTAGCATTATGGAAAAACTAGAAATTTACAAAAGAAGAATTCCCACATTTCGGTATAAAACATTGAGGATCATCAAACGGCTTCTTGCCAGCGCCCTTAGGATTTAGAACCGACAAGACTGTCTAATGACCTATTGTAGCT